AAAAAAAAAAAAAAGACAAAATTAAGTGTATGCAGGATTACATATAGTTGTAGATCCTCTAGGTTCAATTTCATTTCATTTTCTTCCCAAAGGCAACTTAAATACATGCAGCATCTTTATAAAGCCATATAATTTTAGAGCTGAAAAAAAAATGTTTAGATTATTTGCCTAACTTCTCTCGTTAGCTGTGAGAATACAGAGATGGAGAGAGGAGGAAAGCAACTTTGTATATTCTATCATTAGTCTGTTATTCATACTCTGAAGCCCACATTCTTTGCAAATGCCACATGGTTTCAGTTTTTCTGAAGCATAAAGGTAAATCCAGTCATATCCTATTGATCGAGAATGAGCGTTTTTATAGAAGGGAAAGTCTAGCAAAGAAAAGTTTTCTTCTTTAGGAGGTAAGAATAGTTCAGCCAGCTTGGACAGTGCAGTAAGACCCTGTCTCTACAACAAAAAACAAAAAAACTAACCAGGTGGCACCTGCCTATAGTCCCAGCTACTTGGAACGCAGGAGGATGACTGAGCCCAGGAGTTGAAGGTTGCAGTCAGCTATGATCATGCCTGGGCAACAGAGTATGACTCTGCCTCAAAAAAAAAAAAAAAAGATATTTCAAATAAGGAGAAAGACTTGCCTTTTCAACAGACTGTAAGAATAGTCATTCATGATGGCTTAGAACTTCACTATGAAATTATTGATTTCCTAAGCCCTATGGCAGTAATGTTGGAAGTCTGTAGAGGCCCCTAAGCTTGTTGTCCTTCCTGTAAGTAACTATTTTCATCCCTTTTGTGACTACATTGTCAATTCTTGCTACTTTAATGATGCTCCATGGCAGCCTTGGGCAGTTATTCTTTATCCCCTACAATCTAGAAACCACACAGACAGTATTGGGAAACAATATACTAGGGTGGGAAGAACATGAGTTTGAACTTGGTCCCGTCACTTAATGTTTTGTCTTCTTGAGAAAGTTGCGTGATGAGTGTCCTCGTCTATGTAATGAGGATGATTGTAGTATTTTCCCCAAAGGCTCATGAAAAAGAAATGAGGCAAAATTTGTAAAGCACACTTGGCCTGCTCAGGAAATAAAAGGGCAGTAAATGTTATTCTGGGATTAACTGTAGTAAGATTTCTGAACCTATTTAATATTTTTGAATGTGCAGTGAAATTCACTGGGCTTTAGGAAATTATGGTGACCTCTCAGGCATACTCCTCTCCCACTGTTTAATGCTTGCTTGCTTTCCCTCGTGTGTAATAAGACTGAAGAAAGTCTAATCTGACTCAATAATGGGTTTCTACACCACGTGGGCTCCAGTTTCAATCTCCATTCCAAATGTTGTGGGATCTTTGTGATTCTTCTAGGATGCCACCTCCCTCTGCTATGGTTTCCCGTTACTAGACTCTGCTTATGACAAGGAGAACTATCTGGGAGATACTTAATTGCAAACTTGGAAGAGCTGGATGAATTCAAATAAGGGAAATTCTTACTGTGCCTTTGACTTCTCTTCTTCATAGGAATCTTTAACCTTTAACCAGAAAAACATTTTAATGAGATATATCCATGGTGACTCTAGAATAGAATTTAATTCTTACCAGGGTTCAGTTAAGCTTTTCTCAGAGACCCTCGTTCAGTATTGATGACACAGTTCAGCACAGCCCTCAGCTCTCTGATGGATGTATTAGTATTTAATTTCTCCTGAACTTTCGTAAGTCCTATAAGCTGCACATTAGAATGTGAGTTGGGGAAACTCGGAGAATAAAATAAAACAACTCTGGAAGATTTGTGAAAGACAACTCTAGAATGGAGTGAATGTGTCTCGCTCAGAACCAAAGGCCTTAGGACTGGAAGCCCTTTCTACATTAGCCAGCAAAATTGCTTTTGTTACATTTTTGGAAAGCAATGTCTCAAGATATTCTATATAAAGCAGAGAAAATGCAGCCCTTGGCCATCATTTAATATGCTTTCTTTTTTTCATTGATAGGATCTGAATATTAAAGATAGTGACTTAGTTAATTATTTCTGTGTAAGGACCTCCCATGTTTAATTCCGAGTCTAGGAATGACACTAATCTAATATAAATTAAATTTATAATAGTTCTGTCTAAATTAGTTGTTGATAAACTTAGGATCCTATTTAAGTCAAATGTTTACATAATTTTGAGGGAAAATATACCCATAATGTCAGCTTTGGCTCAATGGTTATTAAAATTTTCCTCTTATCTCTTGGATTCTTAATCCACATATATTCGTAGCTGTGATTGAACAAGTCTGATTTGGTAAAGCATTTGCTAAGCATTTTACACGTTTTTTTAATCTAATATAAACATTTAATACTTTTCCACTATTAATATGTTATGCTTTTTAGCTTTATATTTAGCTTTTTGGGTATTTAATTATATGATGTGCTTACACGCAGCATTTTAAAACCATTTGCCACTCCAAAGGTATTAGGTATTTTCTAATATTTTAGTATGTAAATAACCTGCCTTTACATAGCTGAGTATTTTTTCATTTTGAATTATATCCTTGGCATAAATTCATTGATTTATATTACGAAGTCTAGTTTAAGGAAAATTTTTGCTTTACCTTGTTAGATAACTTTAAAAAGATTTTTCTACTTTATAAAATCATCAGCAACAAGGAAACCATAGTTAAACTATAACCTCTCCTCCATGGAAGAGAATTATTTATATTCATTTTGAACCAATTTAATAAGTACATTGTGTCATGGTTATTTTAATTTAAGTTTGTATAATTAATAACAAAATAAGCAAGATGGTTTTCTACTTTGCTGATCTATCTCTTGAAAGCTTAGTTTTGATTATTCTTACAGAGTTGAATAAATAAACAGATTAAAATTAAGGTCACTAAAATTTCCTTGGGAAGTAATGTGATTATTTTTTCCTCATCCTAAATCTCCTGGTGTGACCTTGGGTAAGTCCTTTTGCTTCTGAGTCCCTATGTTCTCATTTTTTAGGGAGAGAGATTAATTTCTTCCCTGTCTTCAACTAGAAGGAATAAACAAGTGTGATGTGGTATAGATCATGAAATTATTTACTACTATCCAAGCTTAATGCCATTAATAACATTGTTACCATTGCTTTTCTCCTTTAGCATGATATGATACAATGTAAAAGCCCTCTAAATTAGGGGCAGTTTCCTGGCTGTAGTTGGTATAGATATACCAAAATAAATGAATACTATAGAAGGAATGTAAGGATATGTGAGAAGAAAAGATTGGTGCTTTGCTTAAGATTTTTGTGTCAGTTTGAGTATGAAGGGCAGAAACAGTGTCTCTTGCTTATGTGTCCCTCTGCCCATAATGAGACAGGCTTACTCATAGATTTAGCAAAGGAATTCCTGTTTTTGTGTCTACAATTGCCAAAGATTCTGGGCCTAGGGACACAGCACATCAGAAATTCTCAGCAAACGTCTGTTTACGAAATGGCAGCCAAGGATCCTCCCCTGAACCAGTTCTCTCACTCAGAGCGGATGGAATCCAACTCCTAACTCTCCAACAGTAGAAGTCGGTAGAGACATTTTTATTAGAGTTAAAATTCAAGTGATTAAAGGGCCTCCGGAAACAG